TAGAATATATATATATATATATATATATATATATATATATATATATTACATAAAATATGAGTAACATACAAGTATACGTGTGTAATATAAAACGTGTAACGTACCACTGTTCCGCCTCGATGAGCCATGTAAGATATACCCAAGTCCGGTCCAATGACTAGTTCTACAGGTATTGACCAGCTTGACTGTAAGTTGTAGAACAGAAGTTGTACGAGCGATGTTGGATGTGATTAATACATAAAGTGAATAAATTCTACAAATGGGCATGAATTCTTTACACTTTTATCGTTTAACAATTTTTTCATTTGCATCAGAGAAATATATGCTAGATCTCGATATGTCATTACTTACCCCTAATGCGCATATAAATCTTTCCTGATCAAATCGATAGTGCGCCCGTAGCAGATCAAAAAATTTGAACATGCACTCCAGTTCGGACAATGCTGCGACTTTTTTAAAGTGTTGCTGTATTAGTTTTCGGAGCGCTTTTGGTTTCATCCCATTCAGCACGGAACGCGGCAGGAATTTGTGTAAACCGACCTGTGGGCAGAATATAGACACTATTCGTTTCGTATATTTTGTACAGTGAAAGGGATGAATTGATGCGAATATACAAGTGAAATCCAGTTATTCGTAGGCAAGATTTGATGCTTCGAAAAATTACCTCACGCTCTAAGTATTCCAAATTGCTCTTCTTGTCCAGAGCAATTTGCGGCATATCCTTGAAAAAATAACGGATCTCTAGGCTCCTGATCCAGTGTAGAATGGTTAGCAAGCAGGTAATCGTTTCGCACCTAAGTATATAGATAAATACAATTTGTCATTTATTTTTAAAACGTTAAACATCTTGCTAAATTGCTCATCGACATATCATTGTACCTGATCGTAATAATAGTAAAATGTGACTTTATCCTTCTCGTAAAGATCATTCAAGTTCTGAGGAAGATAACGTACTCGGAGCTCGTACCTCCATTCGCAATGTGGATGCTTTCGTTCATACTTTTCTTGTACCTGAACGATAGATACATTGAGAAAATTGAAAGAAATAGAATGTATCAGAATATAACAGAATATATGCCAGATACGCGACTCACATATATCGATTTATACCTGATACATCGTTGTATCCTGATGCAACCAATAACTCTCTCCGGATCCGGGATGGTGCAGCCTCATTGCGTACAGATTTCGATAATGTCTAGTACCAACAGCTAATCGACTAGTTACCAAAGAGATGATACCTCTAACGTCGATCGCATCACCGAATTTGACGACATTAAAACCACCTAAATTGCAGTAGAAAAACCTTATTAATAAAGTTACTTATCTTTTTTCTTCTTAGAATATACATGTTTTGATTTTAATAGTATTTATAATGGTAATAGATTTACTCTTATTCATCTCGTAAAAAAGGAAATTAATCAATAAAAACTGAAATTATAAGCGACTTGCTAGCCCGGAGAATTACATCCTGGAAATTCGAAGTACGTGTCTAAAATAGCATTAGTAAAGAAAAAGAAAAACGACCTTATGTTGTTTAACGAGTCTTGAACAAGATTACGGTCAGAGACAATTATTGGTAATCGAGGAGCAAATAAATACGTTGTAAGGAAAACGCTATTTTTCATTATTCAATCTTAAGGACGGATTTTATCATGTATCTGAAGATAGTATTAGGTGTTCCGGTTAGTTTTGAGGGATTTAAAAAAAAACACGTTTATTTTAAGAAGATGTTAAATTATATTTCATTCAAAAATATATTTTCCATCGCTAGCTACAACTTTTTCCTATTTTTCTGGCAATAAATGAATTCCGCGATAAAAAAAGTGTTCGTTTTTCGAAGCAATCCATTCAGCGAGCCATTTTTTTATTTCATCATATGTTTTGAAGTGCTGGTCAGCAAGGTCGTGATCGATCGAAATAAGTAATAATTCGAAGCACAGTCTGGCAAATACACGGCAAGAGGTAAGCTTTCCCACTGAAATGCTGCTAAACGTGTCTTTAATTGTTTTTTTCAACATTGAGCATTGTTGTACAACAAAATCACTTTGCGTTTTCTTTTTTGTTTGGACGTTTTTGGTTCAAAGTACAATTCAAATCGATTAATTGTTATTGTTAACGCTCAGCAATGATTGTTTCATTTGGTTTCAGCAGCTCATAATATACGACGCTTTTCATGTCCCACTAAATGCATAACAAAACCTTACTTCTATGGATGTTGCGTCTTGGCATCGATGTTGATGGTTAGCCTAGATTTATCCACGATTTTTTACGTTTAGGATTATCATAGTAGCTCTATTTTTCATCGCTGGTTATTATTTGATACAAAAACTGCTTCTTTTTGTGATGAGAAAGCAACGAAATGCAAATGGTTAAACAATTTTGAATAGCCAATTCAGATAGTGGAACCCATTTGCCTTCTTTTTGAATCTTTCCCATTGCGTGTAAACAGAAACGGTCAATTTACCAACATCTAATGCTTCAGCTAATTCTTCAAGCATTTAAGTTGAATTTTTATCCAACAATGCCTGTAATTCGGCATTTTCGAACTTTTTTTGGTTGACCTGAACGTTCTTTGTCTTTCAAATCAAAATCATCACTTTTAAATTGTCGATATCAGTAATCACACGTTTTAACTGATAAAACGAATTCAGAATAAGTTTCTGAGATGAATCAATGAGCTTCTGCAGCCGTTTTCTTCGAATCAAAGCAATAAGATAGCAGCTGACGAAAACGCTTTTTATCACGTTCCATTTTCAATCGCAAAAGTGTACGGTTATGTTTACAAATGCATAAAACTTATGTTAAATTATTTTTAGAAATATAGAAAGTTTGAAATGAATGATACACTCAATTTCAAAATATCTTTAGTAGATCTATAGCTACAGCTATTTGTAGTGAGTCCTCAAAACAAACCGGAACATCTAATATTAAATGTACCGCCTTTGTAATGCGTCTGTGAAGTTAGCACAGTGAAATTTTATAGTTCTGATTAAAGTTCCCATTTCCTTTTGAACGAAGAGTTCTATATATTTAAGGCTCCTGAGTAGTCAGCCATATTGAATTGTGACATCAAAAGCGAGAAATGACAAGTTGATTTCTCTTGCATACCATTTGTAAATAAAGAATTTGGATGAAATGGAATGATGAGATCGCTTTAAAACACTTGTAAAAATGGATGAAGACTCTCCTTATCTCCCCTGATAATCAGTAAAGAATCGAAAAAGGCTTGTGAAATGAAAATAGGCTATGCATGCGTATTGAATAAAAACTAGTAAACTTTACGTGCCTTTTATGACTATTTACTGACTGTCAAGGAAGATAAGGATAATTTTCATCCATTTTTACAAGTATTTTAAAGCGATCTCATCATTTCATTTCGTCCAAATCCTTTTTATTTATAAACGACATGCAAGAAAAATCAACGTGACGCTTATGCCACATTTCTTTACGATGTCACGATTCAATATGGCTGAAGTGAGCACTCAGGAGCCTTAACAAGAGTTACACTTAATAAACATTTAAAAAAAAATGGGGTGCTAACTTTTTATTGAAAATCAAGATCGAATAGTTCTGAGCGGCTTCATTTTGTGAATGTCCAGAGTTCCTGATGTATAAAAAAAAATTTCAAAAAATAAAAAAAAATAAAAATTTTTGGAAAATTAATTTTTTGATACAATAATTCTGTTTAGAGTTGCCGCTTCCTTTTAACAAAACGAAGAGTTTTCTATAGTAAATAACTTTTACAATTTATAACTTTATAATTTATAAGTTCTTTATAGTTTAATAGTTCTATTTTATGAATATCTAAAGTTCCCGACACATAAAAAAACAATTTTGACACATAATAAAGTTAAAAAAAAAATTTATATATAAAGAGATTGTTTTTGCAATCAATTTTTCATATTTTGTTTTAAGTATATATCTCTTTTATTGTATGTTTTGTATCTTTTATTCTATGTTTAATCACTGAGAACTCTTTGAAATAGATAAAATAACAATTAACATGTCAAAACTATTGTATACAAGGATTTTTTCGAATTTTTTTTATTAATTTTGTTATGTATCAAAATTGTTTTTTTATGTATTAGAAATTCTAGATATTCACAAAATAGAGCTATTAAACTGCTCAGAAACTATTCAATCTCAAATTTCGATAAGAAGTTAACATCTCATTTTTTAAAAATTATTCAAAAATTATTATTAAGCAAAACTCGCATTGCAAACTATAGAGAATTTTTCGTCTTGTTAAAAAAAGCGGGAACTCTAATCAGAATTATTGTATCTAAAAATTAATTTTTCAAAAATTTTTAATTTTTTTCTTGACATTTTTTTATGTATCTGGAATTGTAGCTCTAGATATACACAAAATGAAGCTATTAAGTCACTCAGAACTATTCGATCTCGATTTTCGATAAGAAGTTAGTACTATTTTTAAAAAATTATTTAAAAATAATTATTAAGCGGAACTCTTGTTCTAAACTAAATATTTAAAACTCTTCATTTCGTCAAAAAAAAAAAATGGGAACTTCTCAGATCAAAACTATGGAATTTTAATATTGGAATGCTAACTTCATGTCAATAAAGTATTTCATTTTCTGCAAAACCTATTCGAGTTGCACTTAGATAAATGTCGATTTTGTATATGAAAAAATAGAACTCTTAGGTTACATCGTTTCGCAGGAAGATGTACGTCCAAGTGATCACGGAATCAATGCCGTATCAAATTTCTCCATCCCTAAGAATGTACGGGATGTGCAAAGCTTTCTCAGGTTAAGCTTATATTCTAGAAAATTTCTCGAAAATTTAATGACAATTACTGGTCCATTAAATGCATTACTTAAAAAGAGAACGAAGTTTGAGTTCGATCAGAAACAAACGGAAGCATTTAAATTATTAAAGAGAAAATTAATAGAGGCTCTAATTCTGTCGATTTACAGTCCGGATGATCCGATGGGATTACATTGGATTACATTGACGTAAGTTCACAAGGTTTTGGTACGGTGCTTATGTAACGAAAAACCGATAAATATCTCCATCCAATCTTTTATTCTCTAAAAGTCAGAGACGCTAACGATTATTTATGTAAAACGATTTTACATTTATTTATAAGGTTCACATTTATTTGCATTCAAGATAGTTACGGATAACGCGTTGGTGATGATCGGCTAGAAAAAAAGATAGTGCATATTGATGTCGAGCGAATAGTATTTTGGTGGTGGTCGAGGATAATATGAGTTCAATTTATCCGTGTGTCAATCTCAGGATATCGCGATAAGGGGATTAGATCGCAATTAGAATAAAACTGAGTAGAATAAAATGTACGAAATGAGAAACGGCTTCATATGTCGAAAAAAAAGGGTGATCTTTCATTTTATGTGTTGCAAGCCGTAGAGCAAGAAGTGCTACATAAATATCACGAACATTTTGGTGTTGACAAAACTTTTGCGCTATTAAGAAAAGTACTGGTCCATCAATAAAAAAACAAAATTCGCGTACACATACTATACAGAACTGCATTAAATGCATCGTTTCCGAAGTCATCGAGTAAAGTCAAAGAGTTTTTTCATAATCCAAAACTGGGCGAACCATTTGCAGTGGTGTATGTCAACCATTTTGATTTTGTCGATTAACTGAATACTGCGAAGAAATACATAGAATATCGTAGATGTGTTTATCAAACACGTGAAACTTTTTTTGTGGTAAAAACGGCAATGTGATATCCTTAGATATCTCAAAGATTATTTTCAAGTATTTCGTTGGCCGAAGATTTTTCTCGGGTAGAAGTACTAATCTCACCTCAAACACAACTCAGATATACAGTATTGTCGATATCGAAACACTACAAACCAATTTATGGACAAAAAAGCCGAGCCCGAAAGGCCGCGAACAAGTAAAGTGCCCTTAATATTCAGAAATTATGCGTTTCGCGGGTTATCTCCATTTCCAAATCCATTCTTAGAATGTCATTTCGTGAACATTGTTAGGAGTGTAATTTAGTTTTGAGGGTTTTGCAAGAGATGACACTAATGACTAATGTCAATGTTACCGAAGACATTCCAATCGCAGTTAATATTTCTTAATGTTTTATTATAACTTAATGATATTTAATCATTTTCTAACAATAGACGCAGTAAATATCATGTTTATACTATTTTAACAATGAAAGCAACGCTCCTAAGGAACTTCCTAAAGAGCATTTTCGATATGCGTTGCTTTCATTTTTTAATCAGAAAAAAAGGCGACTAAAAATCATTGAATTCTGATAGAAATTTATGATAATTAATGTTGCTCCATTAATTAAGACATGTGAATATTGATTCAGATGATGTACAAGTAATGATTTCAATGATAATGACAAAGATCGCTCGGAACAACTAAAAAAGCTGATTTGCAAAATGCAGATTTGCAAGCATTATTAGACGAAAATCTAGCATAATCCACTTTAGAATTTGCCAGAGAATTAAATATTGATGGTACAACAGTTACGAAATTATACATGCTATGGGAAAGATTCACAAAGAAGGAAAATGGGTTTCATATCAGTTATCGGAAAATGCCATTGCGAACCGATTGAACATTTGCATTTCGTTGATCTCTAGACAAAAAAAGAAGAGTTTTTTGTACCGAATTGTTACTGAGGATGAAAAATGGATTTATTTTGATAATCCCAAACGAAAAAGGTCATGGGTTGATCCAGGCCAACCAGCAACATTCACTTCGAGGCGCAATATTAGTTAATAGTTTAAAGGTATGTTGTGTATTTGGTGAGATCAAGAAGGTGTTGTATACTATGAACTATTAAATCTAGCAGAAACTGTTGGCAGCTGATTGTTATCGACAACAATTATACAAATTAAAACGAGCATTAGACAAAAAACGATTTCTAATTGCGAATAAATAACGCAAAATGATCCTTCTTCACGACAATGCTCGACCTCATGTTGCATTATCAATGAAGAAGCTATTAGAACTGGAATGGAAATCTTACCACACTCCGTGTATTCTCTAGACATTGTTCCATTTGATTTTCACTTGTTCCGATTGATGCAACATGCTTTAGAGGATACACACTTTCAAAGATGCGTAAAAATATGTTGAAAATTGAATCAACTCCAAAGCAGAATCTTTTTATTATCACGGAATCCATCTTCAAAAAGATGGGTAAAAGTTATACAAAATGAAGGAAAATATTTTGATTAAGGTATTCATTCATTATCTTATTTAAATAAATCAGTTTTTGAGAAAAAAAACCCTCGAAACTAAATCACACTCCTAATATGATGTAATGTTGGCTATTGTATACTTGATGTTTCAATGTTGTGTTCTGATAATGCTGACCGTGTAACGTGCTTTAATCTGACATCACCTTGGTGATTTTTATCCGTAAGTTGATCATTCTCCCAGTCTCCCAATGTCTCCCCAGTCTCTCAATGTGTACTTCGCAGGAATAAAGTATTTTATATACTACTGCGAAACTGAGTTTTTGATCTTTAGGATTTCTCAAGATTTGTTCTATCTTTTTGGATTTAAAGATGATTCGAATATTTATTGCGTTTATTTAATATTCTGCCGATTCGATTTTCCGTGGGTGGGATTTTAAACGTTCAACATAATCTCTGGGGATCATCTAGAGATAATCATACTGCCATACTGGTAAATCTTTGATGGAAATTATATATAATTTCACATTTTTTATTTTAAATGATGGTAGTGGTACAAGAATTTCAGTTAATACAATTGCAATAGTGATTTAGATTAATGATTGTTTCGACTAGTTTGAGTTTTTCTTGTCAATAGTCAGTTTTGAATGAACTTTATAGTGATGATTCACTGTCTTATCTTGGTAGAAATACTTGGGGTTTTTAATTCAGAGATGACTTTAAGTAATTCGAGTAGACCTAAAATATTCTTAAAAAATTTTGATAGATCTAAATTTAACAATCTTATTTATGAAAGAATTCAACCTCCTCGAAATTTTTTACTCACGAATATTTTATTTTATAAAGCATGGCATAAAATTGTTTTAGATTCTTTTTTTTGAAACTGGCTGTGCTTGATAATTTTAACCATTTAATTAAATTCGATATATTATGCAATTTATTCGATATATTATTCAAATCCATTAACCAAATCTGTCCCTAAGGTTCGACCTAAGTCGTAGGACAGGGACAGTAAATGTAGCGAGGCGGTAGAAGAGTGAAAGAAAGCTTATGACGTTTTAAAATCTTCATTGTCCATGGATTATTTATCGGCAAGCCTCTTATAAAGCCAGGAAAATTATCGTTCAAAATAAAAAAATATTTTTAAAAATTTATCAGTGATATATTGATTAAAGTTTATTTTTCTAAAAAATGATTAATTTCTTTAAAAATTGCGCTTATACAAAACTTAATCTTCCATTTCACATATCTATTAATGAAACGGTTGATCCTACTGTGGATAACTTGGCCCCGTCTTGATAAGTTTGATAATCTTTTAAATATTCTTTCAATTGATAAAATTTTTATTTTTCAAATTGAAGAACTTATTAAATTGATAAACTCTCAAAAAATTAAAAGCGTTGCGGGTCCTGATCTAATTAATGTGTAAATTTCTTTCGTGCTTTACCTCTTTCAGCGGTTGAAGTCCTATTTCTTTCTTTTAATGGAGATGATATTTTATGTAATTTTCCTAATGCATGGAGAGAATTTAATCCCTAATAAGAAATTATCCCGATTCTTATCCCTAATAAGAAAAGATTATGACCTATTTCTTTAGCCTCTTGTATAGGTATACTATTAGAAAATTGATTATTAAAAGACTTGAACGATTCATTGAATTGGAAGGTTTATTTTCGGTTTCCCAATTTGGCTTTCATAAGGGTTGCTCTTGTGATCATTACTTGAAACACATATTAATATCAAAGCTTATAAGCGGTTATTAGCTTGGCCAATTGTTAAGAGCTTTGTTTTTGAACACTAAAAGTGCGTATAATAATGTAAAACATCCTCTTTGACTATCTTAACCTTTTGAGAATCCCGATATAAATCCTTTTTTCAATACTTCTTATCACCTAGAGTAATCAAATTCTATGTTTTTAATGCACTTTGTAGAGAACGAGTAATCCAAAAAGGATTTTCAAGACTGAAAATAATTTCGATGCGCAGTTTACAGGATTGGAATTGATTTTATTCTTAATTGTTTGTGTTGTTCACATCGCAGTCTTTAAACTATTACTTTAATACTGATTTTATTTGTTCTAGTGAGAAGCAAGCGAGTTTCATCAATTGGTTCCTCTATTTTCTCGCTTAATGTAACGAATTCTTTAATGAGATGATGAAATAACTTACCGTTGGGAAGATGGACTTTTAAAGTCGCCTTATCCATGGGGGTAGGGGAGCCATGCGGCGGAGTGTTCCTGCCACCACCGCTGTTCTGAACACCTCCTACACTGCCTGCACCTCCATCTCCTGCTCCAGTACTCATCCCCTCATGGCTATATAGAGAACAGAAAAAAACAAAAGGGTTGACTTTTAATGAAAGCTTTTGCGCGTCAATTATATATTATTTCATAACAATCAAACCGCTCATTAGACTAAGTAAAGATCAATCTCATAAAAGTTTGTTTTTGAAAATAACAAAAGCTAGAGCCGAGGTCATCATGTTTTTCGGAACAACTAACAACTTTCATTTTTAGACGACCATAATGTTGTATTAAATAATTCAATCTGAATTACTATATGTATATTATACCTACATATAGTAATTCAGATTGAATTATTTAAGCATTAAGGATCTAGCTTTGATCATTATGGCCATTACATCTTTTTTAATAAAAGATCTTAAAATTATCTTATACTTTGTTATTCTTTTAAGTAAATACGATCGAGAGCAATACGATTAACTGAATATTAGCCTCTAATAATTTTTGACATAGAATATTCACGCAAAACAATTAAACTAATAAGCAATTCATATAGAACGATGTAAACTTGAATTACAAAAAAAAAATATAGTGTGAGATAACAAAAAATTTTGCTTATACGAACAACAGGACGACGTAACATAAACATAATTTAGTAAATCATTAATGATCCAATTCACTTTTTAATAATATAGATTCTATATTTAACTATGATTGTCTTATTAACTATAGGCTAAAAAATCCTTTTGAGGATTAAGGGTCCTATAATATACTTCATTTTAATTTCTCCAACATGTCACATATCATAGTTATAATATGACATAAAATATGTAAAAATAGCCCTTTTTGCGACTTTAAATTTCTCAAAATTATAATGTGATGGAACAGTTTGGAAGTCGGATTCCTATTCAATGTCAAAAAACCTTTGTCTCGTTCTGGTGTTGTTTTGTCGAACAATATAATAAGTATATCTATTCGCGTGGATTTTGCCGCTCACGCCGTGATTTCAAACGTTATTAATCCGCACGATTGGCATCTAGCAAGGAATCGTGACTCGATCTGCTCAATAATGGATGTAACGACATAATCCAATTTGTCTCGCCGCATCTCTGTGATTCTAATGCGATTTTTTATTATTTCTTGCGACAGTTCCCTGGTAACATTTCGAAGCATCATTCGGTTTCGCAAGAGCGAGCTCCTACTGTGATATCACGGTAGAGTTCACGATTGCATTCGTTGTAGCCGCGGGATGTAACGTTCATATCCCGCAGATCGAAACGTAAATGTATTTCAGGGTGAAACAAATTGTCACGGGATTGCATAAGTCACATGAATTATTCTCATCGCGATTTCTGTGGAAATAATGTGTCTCCTCTCTAACCGCGTGTACAGCAAATGCGGTGCATTATTATTATTTCGCTGTCTGCAGAGAAACAAAAAAAAATAACAATTTAGTAAAATTAATGAAGTACAAATTCTTAATTGTGTAAAATAACGTAAAATGTACGGATTAGTCAGTAATAAACATAGATACCGTTAATAAATCCTAAGTATTGTCCAACCAATATCCCCTCAACCTTTTTACAATAATACCTTATTATTAGGTGTTGGAATTAATTCGTAGCGTTTTACAAGTGATGGGAAGTACTTTCATTAATGTATTTTTTAATGCTCATGTGAAATAAATAACATTCTTTCATTAAAAAACGCTACGAATTAATTCCAACACCTAATATATTCGTGCTTGATTTATGAGCCAAAAAATGGTCGCCCTAATTTTGCGTATAGATACACAACACTTACGCATATTACACATATACATATATACCATTCTCTTGATTCACAATCAGTTAAGGCTACATTCGGAAATATCACTTGAGTGCTATCGTGTATTATTCTTGTTTAACAACAAGAGTAAACAACAAGGATAAAACGATATATGAGGGCATTTTGGATGATGTTTCCAAATGCAGTCGTATAGATATCTGTAATGTGTATCAAGTTATCATTTAACATTTTTGAAATTCGCTTGCTATTTTTTCGGATAAATCATTTTATTACATTTAAAATGGGCAAACACATCAAACCGTGTATTTATCAACACATTGTCGTGAAGAAAAAATGATTTTAAAGATAAATTGTATTTTACGATTATATTTTACGATTAGCGAATGATATTTTTTTATTATTTATTGCTAGTTTGGAAATTTAGATTAAATCAATGACATATATAGACCAAACATTTTGTCTACAGCTTGAAATCGAAAATTGACAATTTATGTGGCGTTTAGGATCCATTGCGTTTCTTTCTATTTTGATAAGAGCAGTGCGATAGATGAAGTAGCATGGGTCTAAACGCCACATAAACTGTCAAAATTTCTGGCTTCATCTCTCACCATTAAGTCATGGGAATGCTTGGTCTATGTATATATGTCATTGGGTTGAACAAATTCATTTATCTATTTCTTTGATACAATGCAAATAATAAGCAATGTAACTTTTGTGAAGGATGATTGTCTCATGCACCAGAGGCTTTTTTTTTTTAGAAAAGGCGAGGCCTATTGTAAAATTTGTCGTATAGCTATATGTACCCATAAATCTGATTTACAAAAACTCATCAAAGCAAGGCGGGAGCATTGAAATCCTAAAATACAAAAGTCACTAGCAGTCTGTGATATAAGTTTAATACTTCCTTGGCTGTGTTCCAAATTTACTGCCAGCGCTGAAAATGCTATGGTTTACGTTATGTACATTTTAGATTTGTAGTACAGACAGTCAATTTTGGAATATGTAGTTCTTAAAACCGCGCTTAGTGAGCTCTTGTTATACTTTTAGATCTAACGGAATATGCCAATCAAATACAAGAATTCATTGAGTGCTCAATGAGTAATTAAAGTATTAAATGCTTTTATTATTTGTTAAATATATTTTTTAAATTTCTTTATGCTAATATTTTGTATTGTAGAATTCATTCTGTAATAAATATTCTACAGCAATATTTAAAAATAATTTTATAAGTATTGAATTACTTTCAACTTCTATTAAAATGATTGAAATTAAGCTTGCATGCTTATGGTGGCACACAGCTCAATTTCAATAAGAAATGTAGATCATTTGAATGATTTGTTGAAAGAATGTGGAAAGGGCAACGATTTAGAAAAACTGCGACTGTATAGAATAAAAATTTTTATGACAATATTAAAAATTATATTTCCGACAATATTAAAAGAAATTATTGAAGATATTGGAGAAGAGCCCTTTTCAATAATACTAGACGAATCTATTGATGTGTTGTTAAATATATGGCATATTGTGTGCATTATTTTAGTAAGAGACTGAATATATTTGTAGTGGATTTTCTTGAATTCAGCGAAACATATGAAGTCACTGCTGGAATCTTTACGAATATTTTATAGAATTTATGTCTGAAGTAGGACTAAACTACGAAAATATTGGCATAGGAACGAATAGTGCGAACAACCTTTGCGGGAAGTCATAGCTTATACACGTTATTGAAAGAAAAGATCCCACATTTATAACTGACACAGTCCGTTTGTCACTCGATAAATCTATGTGCCTCCAACACAAGCGACGAATTACCATGTACAGTTAAATATTTATTACAAAAGACGAGAAAATAGTTTTCTTATAGTTCTCTTCGTCACATGAGAGGATACAGCAAAATGTATCAATTAATTAATGCCAGAAAACAACCACCTAAACTGATTGAATTATTTTCGACGCGTTGGTTTTCATGGAGTGAAGTTGTTTCTACAAATATATTAAGCAATGGCTAGAGCTAAAACAACACTTCCAATTAGTGACCAAGGTGGCATAATCCCAAGACGATCAATGTTATGCATCAAGAACATTTGCATAAATGTATGGAGACAACAGTAATTTACTGCTTTTTTAAAAGAAGTTATCTTGGAAGTTAAAATTGACAACAAAACAAAAAGATAAAATCAAATTAAATTTCTTGTAAGAACATAACGTTCGCAGTGTCAAAAGCAGACTCAACTTATGTAACAGAACATTAAGAAATAAATATTATAAGAAAGGAAACAACATTGCCAGAAGTCATCGAATTGAAAAACAATATAGATAGCTGCTTAAGTTACATCAATCAAAAGAATTAAAATTTATTAATTATGTATAAGCATAGTGCAAGAACTCCGTGTCTGATTTCAAATTTAAGCCATTGTTTTGCATTTTGATATTAAGCATTTCAGACACTAATCTTTTACCAATATATCTCTCATTATCTAAAATTTTTGTGTTTAAATCAAAATCATGTTCAAATTAATCTATGTTCAGAAATAACAGACAAGTTACCACTCCTTTTATTAATCATTTTTATGTTCGTTAATCTTTCTCAATTCTAGTCTTTAATTTATGGCTTATCTGTCCCACATAAGAAGCATTGCAATTTTTACAATTAATCTTGTAAACCATATTTTTCTTCGACTCGCGAGGAAGAACGTTTTTTTGTGCTTTAATAATTCCGTCAAGTTTATTCAAACTGAAGAAAAACAATTTGACATTAAGATGTTTGATGATACTTTAATTTGTCATAAATACAAGGCAAAAAGGGGATGGTAAATCACGAAGTTGTTTTATTGTCAATGTTAGATTTATCTATTTGTTTAAGCGTCTTACGTTTTAAAAGAGACCTTAAATTGATCGTGTCAAAAATAAAATTAATAGGGTAATTGTTGTCCAAAAATGTCTTAATAATAAAATTAAAACTATGATATTTTGGATGAGATTGTAAAAAAGTTCTGTCCACCATGTTTAAGAACACCTCTTTTTTGTGAAAGAGGATAAAGAGACAAAAAATTGAGATACTTCTCCGAAAAAGTTAATTTATGATAAAGATTAAATTCTAATTTTCATATTAATTATCATCATGTTCAAAAAATTTAACCGATCACCACCAATCTTCAAAATAAACTGCAACTTTGAATGAAAAGAGTTAAATATCTCTAAAAATTCTTCATTTAAGTGGACTAGGAAACACAGTCGCGATGTCGTCTACATATCTAAAATAAAAAGGCAGTTCAGTTCCAAAT